TTTCATTGCAGTCGTGTTATGGTATATACTGGGAGTCAGACAGTCGACAGCAGGTGGTTCTCGCTATAAAATGGTGTACTGCGGATGTTGCAGTTACAGTTTCAAAAGTGTATTGTTAAATCCACAGCAAAACAACACCTTGGAAAACAACAACTTACTCGCACGTGTCAGTTTTGTTCATTCTGTACATTTCTAAACATTTATTTTTGTTGTTTTGTTTTTGTATGAGAAAATTTCGATCATGGATTCCAGCGTTCCACTGTGGGGTAGGGGATTTGGCGGAAGGGGGGGGGGGGGGGAGGGGAGAGAACAGACCTGAAGCTCCTTAATAAGCTTGTCGTACAAGACGGCTAATCAGGGATTTGCTGAAAGCGAGAGTTTTGAGTCGAAATTTACGGATATCACGGTCCAAATACAAACCTCAAGTGGATGACTGACCGTCAGTTGCAAGCCGGATTGTGGGAGGTCAGTCGGTGAGACCGGATACCCGAATGTAAGGGTATTGATGTAAGTACGATATGTGTGTAAGTGAGAGTACATGTGTATACATGCGTATGGATATGTGTGCCGTCAATACCATTTGATAGGCCCAAGAGCGCTTAAGACTGCTGTTCAGCAGCTCGACTTAAAAATACGATAAAGTCTAGTCACTGTGTATAAAAAAGCACTCACCAAAAAGCGGTCTTTTGGCTGCGTAAGCCGGTTACGACGAATTTAACTGGATTATAGTTTGTACGACGGATACCTTGATTTGGGAAACAATGGCCTCATTTTAGCTTCCGGTCTGAACCCGCTGCCGCTTGAGAGGCAGGAGACCTCGCTCAGCCAGCGGTTGATGCACGGTACATGTGCTCAGCAGCACATGTTCGAGAAACTGAGTGGGGATGAACGGCTAGCCTGGCTCGTTGGCGATGATAATAGTGGTACGTTCTGTAGTTAGCTCTGAATTTGTCTCTAGTAGTTAAACTGTGTAGAGCTATTTCAGTGTGTATTATCGCTCGGAGATATTTCATTTTATTAGTGAAGTGCTTGGCACGTTAGTTGTTGTTAATGTATTATTTGTGAACAGCGTTTAGTATTGACTTAAGTTCTGTGAAAGGAACAAATGGTGAATGTGGTATTCATAGTCCCAGTTGTTTTAATTCAGATTAGGACTTGTAGTTAGTGTGCCTCGTTTACGTGTACTGCTGATTAGATTTTACATAAAAGATATTATGTCTGGGCTAGAATATTTATGTTTGTAGTCCCCGTCTAACTAACTCTTTTTTTTTTTTTTTATTGTCTTAGTACTTAGGGCTTTTTCGCTTTTTGTACATTATTATGAAACGTTATGATTCTATGGCGTTTGTTCAGTATGTTATTAGACCATTGGACACTTGACCAATGATGATAGCGTCAATATTATGGATCTGCACCTATGTATATTCCTCTTCTTTACTTCCTCCTACTACTTCGGGTATTGACAGAGATAAATGATTCTGCTTCTTGCTTTTCTGGTCACCTCGACCATAGATTAAAAGTGCTATTGTAGAGTTTCTTTGATGTTATCTTTCCATGTTATTCTTGGTCTAAGACTTTCTCTGCATCATTCTTCTCTTTTAGCGTATGCATTGTATTGTATGGCGTCGCAAGATATTCTCTCTACGTTTGCAATCCAATTGATTTTCTGTTTTTAAATTTTTTTAAAATTTTTTTTTTAAATTTTTTAAAATAAATGATTCTGTAACGAATGTTTGTTTCTCTCACAATCTTATTCCTTATTTTCATCTCTTCTGGTCACCCTTGAAGCTCTTCTCGGACATCTCGTTTTTATGGTGAGTAATATTTTTTTCTTGTATTTTGTGTGTGACTATGTCTGACCCTGGTAGCATATGAACGAAAGAGGAGGGGTGGGGGGTGGGGGGGGGGATGCAGCAGCTGTCAAAAATACGTGGCTTGCTTACTTCACTGGATGTTAATTTCTCCAAACAATTTACCACTTTTGGTGTATATATATATATATTTATGCACTGTAACAATTGCTCCATTTCCTATTGCAAATCATAATTTATCTATTACGTTCACTTCTTTGCCAAGAAATACATAAACATATTTAAATCACCTTTAAATATCTAGATTCGATTCTACAAATGCTTTTTAGCTGCTATGTTTAGTCAGATATGATCTCGCGTAAAACAGTATTTTTAATGTACTGACACAAAGACACAAATAACATCGTATTTGTTTTGTGGCGAAACTTTCTAAGACATGAATTATAGCTGCGTCTTACATTGACATTACTGCATTAGCACGAAACGGTTTATTTTTGGTCGGTGTTTTCAAGCAAAGGATTTAAAAATGGCACGGATAAGTAAAAATAACAACATCCGTTTGAATCACAAAAGTGTTTCCAAAAAGAATGAGACATACGTAGACACATAGTCCAAGTTAGCAGACAGTGTATCGATTGTATTATTATTATTAACAGACATATATCATTGTTTACCACCGGAAACCGTTCGCTGGTCTCCAATGACAACAGAAAACGGTAACAATGTTTGAACAACACGCTTTTTGTGAAATTCATACGCCTGATGGTTTCTTCGACCGCTCCAGTCATTTACAGAAACAAAGGTAAAACGTTGGCCCGAGTAAAGCTCTATTGTGAAAGTTTCTAGACATATTCAATTATCGAGTAGGAAAACGAGAAGGGACACCACGTCCACCATTTGTGGCTGCTTCCGTTTTATTTCAGCTTGCAGTGTTTAGAGTTTCTATGACGATAAATTTTTATGTTGAAGAGATCGACGACGTCACCCTGTCCTCGTTCAGTACTTAAAAACGGCACTTATGTTCCATTCCTGGAACAGTTCGACTAGGAAAATTTATATTTGAGGATAAAAAACACCTCGTTTTATAAAATGCACAATTTTCTGGGTTTTTGTAAGTGTGTCTTCACAACACTATACATGATCATGTCCTGTTTGCAGATCTTTCTGTAGGCGCAGTGATCACCAATTTATACTATTTTATAGGTTTTTTTTTTTTTTTTTCAAGTATCCAGAAGCCATGAGTTGTTAACCCTCAGGCTCGGTATTATGGATATCCTAACCATTCGGCCTTGATTTCATGATAAATACCGTATATCTGGAAGAAATGTGGCTTTTCAGCCTACCCCCGGGCGTGAACCCGGACCACAAGGAGTTCGTCACCCGGTCACCGCGCAATCCGGTTTAGATAACTACGCTAGCGAGTCGGGCTATAGTGTATCTAAAGAGGTCGCTGTGCACTATATAGATACAATGTTCGTGACGCGATACACAGTCATATTAAAAACTTAGCAGCACAGTGAATTTTTGGACACGCTTTTAAGTAATTGTGTGCTAGCTATGTTTTGCAGTAATGATTAAATAAAAAATTTAAAATGTTTTAATGTTATTTTCTCCTCATTAATTTATGCCCGATAGATGACGTCAGTAATAGATGTAAGACGAATGTTTTGACTGGCTGAGATAACACGAGATTTATGTCTTGAGTTTCATGAGAGACATATGAAAGTCAGGTTTTATGTGAAACATGATTGTTCACAGGATTTGTGTGAAATGTGAATTATCATGGGCCAGACACGACTTTCAACAGTGGGAAATTCGTGAGAATGAATCCAGAATATTCGAGAACAGGATAGATAGAGGGCTATATAATAGCGAAGAAAAGGTTTGTGAGCAGTCTCGTTTTGGACCTAGGAACAGTGTGCATGGACAGCGGTGGATGATGTGTGGATTCAGCAGATGTTTTTGTGAGTGAATTTGTTCCAGTCCAACTTGGCGAAAAAAGCTGGCCAGTAATATGTCTGCGGGTCGTCTGAGTTTGTCTGTCAGGACAGCTGCTGTGTTTCGTTCAAGATGTTAGTGTGATTGTGATTTCTGCTTGAAGGTAATATTTGATACTTGCATTATAATGTGTGCCTGGACAGTTGTCTAGTTCATGTGCCGGCAGTGTAAGCCGCGAGTGGAAGATTAAAGTACTGGAACAGTATCATGTTGTTTTCCAGTCGTCCTTTTTTCTGCTCGACGAGTGATGTCGGTTTGTGAGATGGCAGCGAGCGTGCGATGAGGCGAGCCAGTAGAAGATAAAAGAGAATCATCGCAAGATGGGATCTCGTCCAAACATTTGAGGATAGGAAAGTCAGAAAAATCTGAGACATCGAAAGGTGTTTAGTTATCAACCTGACGTCAGGTAGTACCAGTTCAACATACGAACGTAAGCGGGGAAGATCGATGGCGAAATAACAACAACCCATATTCGATAGTTCACAGATTGAACAACGTTCGGACAAATTCCAGGCTTTCAATACTGATAGACAAGTCCACGTTTTAAGTTTCGACCAAGTAATCAACAATCAACTAAGATGCGAAGGAAAGATTGCAGACAGTGACGGTGTCAAAGAGCATTCATTGATTGTAGCAAAGGAATACAACCGTAAGTCTACACAGAGATGATGTGAGACTAGGACTGCCCCTCTGCAAACTTCCGAAGCCTTGTTGTTTGAACCTTAAAATTATACAGAGGAATTGTAAATGGAAGAATAACCACCATTTTGAGAGACACGGGCGCCACAATTTCAGGTATCCACAAAGATCTTATCAAACCTGAAGATATTACTAACAAACATGTAAATTGCAGAACATTTGGAGGCACAATTGAGAAATATAAACTTGCATTTGTTAATGTGAAAACACCTTTTTTTCAAGGCAGATTGAAAGTAGCCGTTCTATCAGCACCATGTGCAGGTTTAATTTTGGGGAATGAAAAAGGTCTGAGAGAAATGTCTGAACAGGAAATTTTTCAGTGGGAAAGAGAAAACATCAAGGAATTGAAAGAAAGAGAGAAACTGAATACCAGTGATCAAGATTTTTGCCATAGTGTGAATGCAGTAGTACAAATGAATGAAAGTGATTGCGTCCAAAACAGGGAACAGTTGATTGGTCATGAAAAATTTGAGAATATCGGTATGAAAGAAGTAAAGAATGCAAAAGATGAGAAAAAGTTATTAGGTGTTAGAGAGACAACAATCGTACTGAATGAAAGAGAAATGATGAATATTGAGAAAGTAAATAACCATTCAAACCTAAAAGTTTCATCCAGTGTTAAATTATGTGAAAATGATAATTTTCAATCATGTAAAACTGATTTGGTACAATTGTCTGACCCAAGTGCTCCCCAACTAGCTGCTGCAGTAACCAGAAGCATGACTGATACCATACAACAAAAGTTAAGAGAAGAGAACTTAACTACAGAACTGGTACCCATTACAAAAGAAAATATTAACAGCCAAAGAGAATTTCAAGATGCCCAAGTATCTGATCCATCACTAAAGAAATGTTTTGATTTGGTTCATACAGACCCAGTAGTAAAGAAATTTGCAACATGGAAATTTATTGTATCAAAGAATGTACTACTTAGAATATATCAGAAAGGTCCAAAAGTCTATAAACAGACGGTACTACCACAAAAATTCAGACCAAAAGCCCTATCTTTAGCACATGATTCCATCTTCTCGGGGCACATGGGAATAACAAAAACAAAGAAGAGGATTCTATCTACATTTTATTGGCCTGGGTTTTCTAAAGATGTAAAAAATTATGTTCAATCTTGTGATACATGTGCTAAAACCACAAAAAAAGGAGAGAACCCAAAGGCTCCAGTGCAAATAGGTCTGATAGCATCAAGACCATTTGAACAAGTTGCAATTGATATTGTTGGCCCATTACCAGTGACGTCAGCAAAGGGAAACAGATTTATTTTAACTTTTATTGATGTTGCCACAAAATGGCCTGAGTGTGTACCTCTGAAATTTATAACATCAAATGATATTCAGGAGGCATTGCTAACAATTTTTTCAAGGGTGGGTTTTCCAGAAGTGATTATTTCTGATAAAGGTACTCAGTTTACATCTTGGGCTACAAAAGCTTTTAATAACTGGTTAGGAATTAAACAAAATTTTACAACACCGTATCACGCACAAGCGAATGGCTTGGTTGAAAATTTAAATAAATCCATAAAAACAATGCTTGCCAGAATATCATTTGAACATCCACAGTCTTGGGATACTTTATTACCTGCCATTATGTTTGCATATAGAGAAATTCCTCATAGCTCAACAGGTTTTTCGCCATTTGAACTTGTATATGGGGCAAATCCTAGAGGACCATTGCAGCTATATAATAAGCTTATCACAGGAAAAACAGAAACGGATACAGAAAAATCAGCTTATGAATCAGTAACAGATCTGAGAAATAAAATAATGATTGCTTGTCAACAAGCAAACAAAGCAATGAAAAGCAAACAAGAAGCCAGTCTAAAACTTGTCAACAAGCAAACGAAGCAATGAAAGAAGCCAGTCTAAAACAGCGACAATATGCGAATAGAATAGCAAGACTTGTGAAATATAACCCTGGTGATGAAGTGTTATTACTGTTACCAAAGAAGTCAGACAAGTTATCTATAGAATGGTCAGGTCCTTTTGTTGTTACAAGAAAGATTTCTGATGTTGATTATGAAATCAAAATTAATGAAAAGCTAAAAATTTTTCATGTAAACATGCTTAAACCATATTTTAGAAGATCACTATTCATGTCAGATGATGATGTACTTGATGCAAATTTATGTAATGTAATTAATGAAGAGTTACCTGATGTTATAGAAGAAGATATTCCAACACCATCAACAAAAAATGAAGTCAACTGGAAATCGATAAAGTTAAATGAAGAACTATCAGAAAATGAAAAAGCAAAATTGTGGAGCATCATTTTTCATTACAAAGATATTTTCACGAATAAACCTGGGAAAACTAACATAATCAGTTACGATATCCAGTTGAATTCATCAGTGCCAGTGAAATCAAAACCATATGTAATACCTATCCATTATATCGATAAGGTTATATCAGAATTGCAACAACTACAACAAGAAGGAATCATTGAAGATTCCACATCAAACTACAGTTCGCCTTTAGTGGTAGTAAAGAAAAAGGATGGTTCACTACGTTTGTGTGTTGATTATAGGAAACTAAACCAAATTACCTATTTAGAAACTGAGCCCATCCCTTCGTCAGATGAAATCATACAAGAATTATACAACTCAAAATTTTTTACAAAAATTGACCTTTCAAAAGGCTACTGGCAAATACCACTAACACCAGAAGCTGTAAAATATACTAGCTTTCAAACTCCAATTGGACTCAAACAATGGTTGCGTTTACCATTTGGATTAATAAACGCTCCGAAAATTTTCACAAAAATGGTTAGGAAACTGTTACATGCAATTCCTCACGTCACAGCATATATGGATGCCATCTGTATACACACCAAAACATTGCACGATCACTGCACTACCCTACAAAAAGTCCTATCAAGAATAAATGACGCGAAATTGACAGTAAATCCTTTAAAAACTGAAATTGCATACACCAAAATTGATTACTTAGGGCATGTTATATGCGAAGGTTTAGTCCAGACAGATGAAAATATTGTTTCAAAAATTTTGAAGATCCAAAAACCTAAAACTAAAAAGCAGATACAATCTCTACTAGGATTAATAAACTATTACGGTAAATTCATCCCAAATTTAGCAGCACTAACATCACCACTATCAGAGTTATTAAAGAATCAGATTGGAATGAGACACATGAGGAAATTTTAGTTAAAATAAAAAACTGTTTTTCAAAATATCCTATTTTGAGACAACCTGACCCTTCCAAAAGATTTTTTCTACAATCAGATGCCAGCGGTCACACAATAGCTAGCATGCTTGCGCAGAAACATTCACAAACATTACTCCCAGTAATGTATATGTCACAGAAACTTAACCAAACTCAACAAAAATACAATACATTTGAACGAGAAGCGTTGGCACTAGTTATTAGTCTAAAAAAGTTTCAGAAGTTTCTTTTGGGAAAAGAATTCACTATTTTAACAGATAACTTGGGGTTGACAAAATTATTAACAATTGATGCCAATAGCAATCCAAGGGTATATAGATGGGCATTGTTGATATCACAATTCAAATTTAACATTGAACACATCAAAGCAACAGACAATCATTTACCAGATATCATGTCACGTTTGTAGAACATGTTACAAGTGCTATTACAGCTTGTATTAACTGAAATCATTTTATGCAAGGGTATGCATTGTATTATTGTATGAATGTATTATATGAATTTACAACTTGGAAAATGTATGTTTTGATCTGAACGGGTATAATATAGTAAACAATTAAAGGGAGACAACATTCAGGATTAAAATACACCTCACCTGAAAATGTTACATTTACTAGTATACTAAATTGAATTGGTGTAGCATTTAATTTGAATATGTGTGTTAATGAGACATGTTGTAGTTTCTGAAGACAAGGTAATTAACTACGTCTTGTACCTTACATATTTGGGAACAAAACCATACATACTTGATTTAGCTATTGTTAAGGGCTTTCATGAATGGGAATAGCGAGGGTGGGACTTCATGGGGTCACACTTCGGTTTTAGAGCCAAGATTTTGGACTTCCGCACCGATCGGGGGGTGCCAGGAGAGGGGTTCGGTTGTATACCGACTTTAGAACTGGGTGGGGATACCTATGGAGCCAGATTATTGGTCTTCCGCACTAAAAGGGGAGTGCCTGGGGTGAGGATCCCATTAAGGTATTCACAGTCGTGCAAAGACCCAACAGATGGCATTTTAGAGTGTTTGAATTGTTAACCTAATGAGGTAAAGGGAACTTGGTTGGAAATGAACTTGTCGAAAATGATTCACTACAAAGGTCTAGAATCACAATGTTCAGTGAAATGTTCACACCTGATTAATTGAAAATGTAAAACATTTTTTTGGGGTGGGGGAGAATGTAGTGAGTCATTTTCTCCTCATTAATTTATGCCCGATAGATGACGTCAGTAATAGATGTAAGACGAATGTTTTGACTGGCTGAGATAACACGAGATTTATGTCTTGAGTTTCATGAGAGACATCTGAAAGTCAGGTTTTATGTGAAACAAGATTGTTCACAGGATTTGTGTGAAATGTGAATTATCATGGGCCAGACACGACTTTCAACAGTGGGAAATTCGTGAGAATGAATCCAGAATATTCGAGAACAGGATAGATAGAGGGCTATATAATAGCGAAGAAAAGGTTTGTGAGCAGTCTCGTTTTGGACCTAGGAACAGTGTGCATGGACAGCGGTGGATGATGTGTGGATTCAGCAGATGTTTTTGTAAGTGAATTTGTTCCAGTCCAACTTGGCGAAAAAAGCTGGCCAGTAATATGTCTGCGGGTCGTCTGAGTTTGTCTGTCAGGACAGCTGCTGTGTTTCGTTCAAGATGTTAGTGTGATTGTGATTTCTGCTTGAAGGTAATATTTGATACTTGCATTATAATGTGTGCCTGGACAGTTGTCTAGTTCATGTGCCGGCAGTGTAAGCCGCGAGTGGAAGATTAAAGTACTGGAACAGTATCGTGTTGTTTTCCAGTCGTCCTTTTTTCTGCTCGACGAGTGATGTCGGTTTGTGAGATGGCAGCGAGCGTGCGATGAGGCGAGCCAGTAGAAGATAAAAGAGAATCATCGCAGTGGGTATGTGTTTAAATCACTTTCAACAAAGGCGTTTTTAGTTTAGTTGATTCAGTCCCACGTCGACACTTCTTATTCAATACGTTCTTTCCTAATTTGTTTTAAATAACCTGAGAGATGAAACCAGTTGGCGTGACTTTGATCACATAAGGCGTAGTGTGCTGATCAGTCTGAGCATACGCGGTTATCACGATAAACACAATAGATCTTTAATTTGAGAAAGCGTCATTCAGTTCAATCAATCTTTGAAACCAGTCGCCGAGCTTCCATCACAACAGAAACGAGAAAGGGGATTCCCTGTCAAAGGAATCATGTCTTTCGCTTCGGGATCCCATTTAGGGTGGTGGGGGAGGTGGAGGATGGGGGGGGGGGGAGAATAGACACACTGCCCCCTAGCAAGCAAGTCGTACAAGGCGACTAATTTAGAGTCGTTCCTTCGAAGTCAGAGATCACTGACCTGAGAGGGAAGAAACCAACAGTCTTCACACGAATTAAGCAGATCTGTAAAACGGATGTTTTGGAGCAAGACCAAAGTTCAGAAGTGGATGAACATCCAAAACTTTCCACCGATGTTTATATCTAGTAAATGCAAAGAAGAAGAGAAAATTTCCCACTTATACAAGGAAAGGGAGATCTGCAATACAATCTTCTGGAATAGGGTACTGATGAAGGGGGCGGAAGAGAGAGGGATAGAAAGAGAGAGAGAGAGAGAGAGAGAGAGAGAGAGAGAGAGAGAGAGAGAGAGAGAGAGAGAGAGAGAGAGAGAGAGAGAGGGGGGGGGGGGGTCTTCATATAAATCAAGCTGTTTTCAGGGATCAGAAAATAAAGGTCGTAATGCTAAGTATTTAGCTACGCACTATTAGTGCAATCATTATTCATCATCTTGCCAAGGAATCAGAAAATTATTCAGCGTTCCCATGTCGGAAGCAATTGTATTGTTTTAAAGCACCACCCTGGCTGTTGTCGTGGACCCTAATGTAGCCCGACCTATGTTTTGAACAAGGTTTCCGGGACCTGTCCCCGGCTGATCTCTATTCCAAAGGTGGCATTTTGTGTCATCGGATGTTTGTCTCTTGGTGTGACGTCCTATAAAAAAAAAAGGAGCGGGGGGAGGTGCGAAGGGTTGAACTCCAGTCAGTCTTGCGTAGAACTGCTACGCGAGCCTTCACACAAAAAAAATGTTTCGATATGTTATGTTACCTGACATATCGAGAGGTTCTTTATGTTATGTTACGTTAGTTTTTGCTTCATAGCAAACTGG